TCTATAGAAGTAAATATAATAGAAATAATAATCAACATATTATTTAGCTCTCTCCCATTTCTGGGATCGCATAGGTTGATTCTTTTGCACTGAATCTCTTTGAAAGGAAAGAGCCGTTCAAAAATCCATTTCTTTTTAGACTTGCGATCCCATTTCTGAAAACTGAGAGGCTGAAATATGCTTTGTCATTTGCAATTTCGGCAGCGGCACTCATCGAGATGGGTTGAAAACTCAGCACTTTTTCTGTATTTGTGCTGTTGTGTGTTTGAGATCTCAGCCTTCTGAGATGCCTTACTACTTCTGACAGATGCTAAATGTCCCTTTGTCATGAAAGATTCCCAGCAATTGGTCTTTTGGAACAGGATTCACAAGGCGCCCAAACAGCTTTAAGCATGTGATGCTAAAGGGAGTGTTGACCTTGCAGCAATCTTGGGTACCTTGCCAGCCATGATCCTGGCCTACCTGAGCACTATAGGGAGATCATATTTCCTTTGAACATTTGAAAGTCACACTTATGACAGTGGAAGGGACCATGAAGAGTCTGTTCCAGAAGCCCATAGTGCTATATTTGTGATCTTGACATTTCACTGTAGGTCTTAAGTAAAAGGAATTTGCGAGCTTTTGGTGATATGCAGGACAAGATGTTCTTTGGGAACGTTTGAATTAAATGGTTTTTTCCGTGGTGGCTTGCAACCATAGCATTGATGTCAAGGACCCTTTTGGTCCTCTCCTTTCCTAGGCTCTTTCTTCCTTAGTTTCCACATTGCAATTCGGTCACACAGAAGGGGAGATATTGCCCAGTGAAGGCAATCGGTTTTGGCAAGTGGCAACCTAAATATTTTCCAAACATCTACACAGAAATCTGTAAGACTGATCTCATTTTAATCCCTCAATCAATATCTTCTTCCTTTTCTGCATTCAGAGCCAAAACCTGCATTTATAAACCAGGAAAAGCTCCAGAGGGAGGTGAATGCTGTCCTGACAGAAAGTGCCACCCTCAGCTGTGAGGTAGCACAGGATGCAACCGAAGTGAAATGGTACAAGGAGGGAAGACTGCTCGTTTCTTCTAGAAAATTTAAAATAGAAACTGTGGGCAAAACCCGGCGCCTGGTTATAGAGCAGCTGGAGAAGAAAGATGCTGGAGAATACATCTGTGAGGCTGCAGGCCAGAAGATGACCTTCAAGCTGGAACCAACTGGTGAGGACTCACCTAAGCAGCTCTCTGTGTGGCTTAGAGGAAAACTGGATATTCCCTCTCCAGTGGCCACGGTGCAGCTGCCGTTTTCCCTGGAGCAACATTGGTGAACCACATCACACATTAATTTAACCTTTTTAGTGTAGCAGTGTGGAGGTGGGAAATCTGGCTGAAAATGCTATATAGGTGTTTTTTGGAAAATGCTATATAGTTTTTTCTTAGTGTCTCCTTCGCACACCCTGTTGCCCAACCTTTTAAGTGGTGGGGAGCTGAAAGTAGAATTGGGAAGTTTTGAAGAGCTGCAATAGAGCTATGGAGAAAGGTGACTAAGAAAAGCTGGTGTGCTGCTGTTTCTGCCCCAAAACTACGCAGTTTTGTGGCAAAGCATTGTACAAGACAGAGAAGAAGCCAAGAGAAAAGGAAGAGAGCAAGCAGAAAAGAAAATAGGCCACCAATTCAGGTTTAGCATATTAATATTTCTTCTTAATTAGATCTAAAATCCTAAAAATGAGAGAGGAAATAATTATACAGGTCATTTTACTTCTAAGAAACAAGCTTTTTGTGGGCAGCAGATAAAATGTATATTTGCATTTCCTTTCCTTTGCTTCTCTTCGAAGCAGAAGCTCTGGGTTGCCTGACAGATCATTTTCTTTCTTCCCACCCAGCAAAAGATTACACCAGCCACAAATATTCAGCCATATTCCCTGGGTTATTACAGATTATGGATGAGCTGGTGTTGAGTCATGAAGCGAGAGTAATAGAAAATCGTTAAAGATTTGAGATTTAAGTTATTAGTTTTCCTATTTTAATGTCTGTCTTAGAACCAGAGGCTAAATTTGAAAAGAAAGTTGTCCAGAAAGAGCCTCTCATTGTTCAAGAACATGAAAGCATCACACTGACTACTTCAGTAACGCCTGAAACTGCTGCCGTAAAGTGGTTCAAGGATGGAACAGAAATCAAGGCGAGCAAGAAATACGAGATCAAGAGTGAGGGGGCGTCCAGGACCCTGACGGTCAACCTGGCTGAGAGCACAGACACTGCCGTGTACACTTGCCAGACAAAGAGCGACAAGCAGGAATTCAAAGTACAGGTGAAAGGTGAGCAGAGAGCACCGCACAGGTCATGCCCCAACCCAACAGCTACACTTCCCTCATGGTAGGACGGAGGGGAAGTCCAAACTCTCTCTAAAACTCTTCCAGCCTCGAGGCTTGAATTGCTGTTGCTGCTGCTGTGGCTGCCCCACCATGGGCCAGCAAAGTTCTCCTGCTTCCAAATACCCAATTTTTGTCCTTTGCTGGCCACCCAGTGGAACAAGGAGGGCCTACAATGGATGCTTTTCCTGGTGTCTGCTCCCCACTCTCATCACGGTGTTTCTGTCTCCTCCTAAACCCAGTAGCTGGGGCATGGCAGAGCCTTAGCTCTTCCCCATTCTCCTCACCAGCATGACAAAGCTGATGAGGATACAGAGGGATGTCGTGTGAGGAGAAAATTTGTGAGTTGGTCACACGGGGAAACAGGACCCGAATTGTATCCTCCTCTGTTCCTGGGATGGTGCACCTGGGATGCTGCTCCCTAGTCAAGGCTAAGGCTATAAATTGACAAGAAGGATGAAATACAGCTGGTCCACAGGTGGAGATGAGAGGGGTGATGTCCCAGAGCAAAGGCCTGCTCCTTGCTCTTCAGACGCTCCCACTGGAGATGTCTGCAGCAGAGATGCACCCCCTCAGCTCCCTTTGGAGCCATTGCTGATGGGGGAGTAGCTGCTAATAGGTCATGATACATCCGACCTATTGAAATGTCTCCTTCAGGATGAAAGAAGTCACACCCTGGATTTCTCTGACTCCATTGGCTGTGTCTCCAGTGACAGAAGAGACAAAGGTGGCTGGAGCTTGTGCATCCATATGGATTTTCACATTTAGTCAGGCAAATCAGGCTCTGGTGTAAAAAAAACCTACATGGTCTCATCGGGTATGAAATTAGAAAGAAAGGAAGGCAAAACCCAATCCTGTTTAAAGGCACTGTTCTTGCTTTACAGAATGATAATGATATTAAAATTCCATGTCAAAGGAATCTCCCTAAAGTTCCACCTTTCTGGTTTGTTTCTGTCTACCCTGATCCCAAATCTGTTGGGTTTTTGGTTTTGTGTTGGGTTTTTTTTTTTTTCTTTTAAAGTTGCCCAGAAACGGTTTCTTAGCACAGGTTTCTTATCTTTTCCTTTCTCATCATTTTTTCTTCTTCTGCATCTCAGAAATCCCAGTGAAGTTTGCCAAAAAACTTGAAGCTGTTAATGCTGAGATTGGAGGTAGCGTCTCCTTGACCTGTGACGTGAGCCACGCCAAAGGGAAGGTGGTGTGGCGCAGGAACGGAGTCCAGATCAAGCCCGGCAAGCGTTTCCAGATTCATGAGGAGGGGGTCAAGCGAACACTGACAATAACAGGGATCCGGGCTGAGGACGAGGGAGAATACTCCTGTGAGTCCAGAGATGACAAGAGCAGTATTACCATCACCCCCAAAGGTATGTCTCTAGAACTGCATGGTGACGATGTGGAGGGATCCTTGGGTTTTGCCCTCAGCCATTACAACTCTGCAAATATGTTCATGTGTTTGTGCTGTCTCCTGTGTTGACAGCAAAATACAAATCTCCACTTCCTCTCTCAGTGTCAGTGCAACCTCTATTTGTGAAGAACATAATGATTTTGAGACCTGTTGAGCTCAGGTCTCTTAGTACAAGGCAAATTGACCTTCATATTGCATTTGAAGCTGGAATTAAGTATCCCAAGTCGAACATGGGATTTTTTCCCCCCTCTTTCTTTGCCTCTCTCTTCTGGCATCATACACAAAACTTACTCAGACATGGAAAACGTGATGACCCATTATTGTGGTCACTTACTGTAAGTAAGAAAAATTGATGCTTCTGGTAAAAACATCAAAGCTTTTGGCTCTTTGAAGGTGTTTATGCCACGTCTCAAAGATATGCTCCTAAATGTTTTTTTCTTATCCATCAGCTCCCAGAGTGGTGAAATTCGTTACGAGTCTCAACAGCGTGGTCTCTGAGGACGGGAAAGAGGCTGTGTTCAAGTGCACCGTCTCTCCCAGTGATGCCGTGGTCACTTGGCTCAGGAATGGTGTCAAGATTGAAGCCAGCAAGAAGTATGTGATCTCGCAGAAGGACACCAACCACAGCCTCACCATCACTGATCTGACGCTGGAAGATGCAGCTGAAATCTGCGCCAATGCTGAGGGTGTAGAAAGCACAGCCAATCTCAGAGTCCGAGGTAGGAGGTGATAATGTCCCTTTGACAGGCTGTCACTGATGCTATTTCCCTTAGAAGTAGGGAAATTCTGCTTTCGCGTCATTTAATACAGATGCCCAGAATGCATTGGGACTGGAGATACGTGAATCACCATTTTAATTCTCTCTGAAAGCCTGTTTTCTGGATCCTCTACATTCTTACTAATATTTCTTCTCCTTTGGCAGAGGCCTCAATCTCATTCAAGAAGAAACTGGAGACCAGAACAGTTGAAGAGAGGGACACAGTGACCTTGGAGGTAGAGCTGACCAAGCCTGCAGAGGTGAAGTGGATGAGAAACAGCATCGTATTGAAGCCCAGTGAAAAAATAGAGATCAAAGCTGAGGGAACAAAGCATACCTTGGTGGTTAAGGACATCTCCTTTGCAGACAGGGGCTTCTACTGCTGTGAGAGTCCAGATGACAAGACCCAAGCCAAGATCAATGTGGAAAGTAAGTTGAAAGATCTCCAGTTCTATAAATACCCTGGACAGGGTTTGGAGGTGGATTCTGGTCTCTTCCATTATCATAATGGCCACTGCCACCCCCACTTGCCATGGGGACATGGGGACACAACCATGGGCTTGGCCACCAGTCAAATGACTGAGAGGAGGTGGAAGCAAGGGCAGTAAACAGAGAACAGCTGGCTGGTTCTTGTTGCCTCCGTCTCATCCCACCGGCTTTCAGTCATGCTGTTGACCATTAAGCTTCTTAACTGATTCTTCTTCCTCTGAAATTTCTCACTCTGGTACACTCTGGTTTTCCCTTTGTATGGCTTTTAGCAAACCATTCCCTGTTCAGCCATCCATTGCCCTAATTTTTCTCTGCAAACCACTTCTTTCACAATGTCTCTTTATATTCAGTCAGGGTTAAAAATACTACAAAAGCAAATCTTCTATCCGAGGATGCTGCCCTTTCAAGTAAGCTAATGGTGTCTCAGCTGTAGCCCTGTACTTCTGTCCTTTTTCCTACATCCTTTTGTCATGATCGTTATAGGATAGATGAAGACAGGATTCAAGCACTTAAGGACTATCTAATTTTGTCTGTAAAGCCCCTGCCACCGATTGGTGCTGTGTAGGTCATAAATAATAGGTAAGGAAGGACTTGATAACAGACTTCAAGTACATAAAAGGCTATTATAAAGTGGAAGGGAATAATCTGTTCTCCATGTGGAAATAACGACAGGAAATAATGGACTTCAATTGCAGTGAGAAAGATCCAGGTTATACAATAAAAAAGCTTTTTAATGATTGGATAACTGAATAGGTTGTCTGGAGAGGTTTTGGAGCCTCCATCATGGGTTTAAGAAAAGGTTGGTGAAATATCTGTCTGGGATGACGTAAAGAGCTGAGCATATCCTAGAGTGGGAGAGAAGGGCTAGATGATTTTTCTAGGTCTTTCCAGCTTTATAATATTGTGGTCTTCTAATGGTATCAAAGATATAAAAAATTGATGACAGACTGTCTCATTTGACAGGGTTTGTCAAATCACTTTCATGCACTGCTAAGACAGCAAAATCTTCCTGGCTGACAGTTGTCAGGATGCTTTAGCATCCTGATATGGGGCAGTTATCACTTCTATTGGCAGTTGCTCGTCTTTTTTCCAAACTAAATAGCTCTAGAAAAAACCCAGACATTATCAGTGACTAGCAGCTGGTAGGCTAGGCTTGGATTTACGCAGCCTAACTCTAGCACATTGCTTTCAGCTCCTTCTGTAGTCAACAAAGACAAAAAAAGACATCCAGAGAGTGTTTTAAGTCTTAGATGCACTGAATTACCTTCTGGAGTGTCTTTCTGACTATCCAAGGAACCATGGGTGACTACGATCCGGATTTAGAACTAGATTCAGGTTTACTGTCTCAATTAAATGGGATGAACTAAGACAACAGAAAATAAAGAAATATAGCACTTCTGTGGTCACAATGTTGGAAGAATGCAGTGCAGTACGGGGCAGTTTGCTCTCCATCCTCTTTCACACGTTGCATCCCAAGGCATTTTTTTTCAGACTCTGAGTGATACTCGGTTTCCTTCCAGCAAGATGTTTCAGCAGTTGGTTGTAGATTCAGTTATACCTGGTTTTAGGCACTGGCTGTTGCTATAGCCAAGTAGTAAAAACAAAAATGATGGAACAGTGTTTATATAGGAAGTAATTGAGTAGTCCTGATAACTGCCAACAGTGTTTTGCACAAGGTGAGTCATGCAAGCATAAATGTGTATCTGCCTCTGGTTTATAAACTTTCTATTCCGATGGAGAGAGAGGATTTTGGGTTGTGCTTCCCAGGCACCCAGCCGCGTTCTCATCACTTACGCTTAGCGTCGCTGTAAAAAGTAGCTCCTCTGCTGATGAATTGAGATAGTTTCACGCAGTGATGGAACCTCAAGGTCATCTGAGAGTGACCATGATCAAAAAGGGGAATCAGCTCACTCTAGCAGGGGATTCTTTTTGCATATGATCATCCAAGCCTTAGTTATGAGATGCAGCAGGAAAGGAGCCATATACAAGAATCTCACTAGACTATATGTATTCTGCATCCAAGTCCTCCAGCTGAGACAGCACCAAGCTCTCGCACTGCTTTACAGCAAAAGCAAGACTCTAAAAGTAGAAGTCTAAAATTATGTTCCATTTTTTGGCATTTAAGCAAATGGCCTCTTTTCAGTAGAATGTGTTAGAGCTTACATTGAGGTTAGCAGAAGTTCTTTAAATGCTCACAGTCTGGGGAATTGAGTTATTACTATTTGATCCTCAGCTTTAGGATAAGAAGCCTGATTTTACAGAACCTTTATTTAAAAAACACCAAGCTGGACTGATACTGTTTGGTTTGAGATTGCTTTCAGAGCAAGGTAAATAAGGAATAGCTATGTGAAAATCTGTTGATTTACTCTAGTATAGAAGTTGCTTCATCAAAAGATAAGCATCTTAAGATGCCAGGACCTCCTAAAAACAACTGAGCTGCTCAGACCAATAACATATCTGGCTGAATATCTATTTTCAGTTGTGACCAGGAGGAGATATTTGTGGAAGACTTAAATAAGTAAGTCATAGGTGAAGTGATCCTTCCTCTGATACACCTCTAAGCTTTCAGCAGGGAAAATCATAATTAGGTCAATTAATTATAGCAGAAATTATACTGGGAACGTGAATATGAAATGTCAAATCTCTTGACACAAAATATTGTCTACTAAAATAAATCCTGTAAAAGTTCTACCATTCCCCAACTTCATGACAAGACCTTTGAAAAAAAATTTTTTTTTTTTTTTCATGCTACATACACCACCAGGTGAGGATATATCCAGGAGGCCACTTATTGAGTCAGAAATTGCTATGCTATTTAGTTAATGTTTTTGCAAGTCCCTTTTGCTATCTCCTTGGAATAACTTCTTTTTGATCCTGGGTCCCGTCACTGTTTGAGGGGCTGGATCATCTATTAACCTAGGGGAAAGGTTAGACAGTAGCAGGTACACTGTGTTCAGTTTAGAGGATGAGGTACCCCGGGGGGATAGAGACCAGCTGCAAAATCAGATCAGAAATCGGGGACTGATGCAACTTCTAGTGAGCAAAGACAGGAGACATGGTGTCTTAGTTTGGGAAGCAAACAACAAGCTCCTGGAAGCGTCTGTACTTCTCTCATTTGTCTGGTTCAAGATGTGTCCTTGGGGCAAATTTGTGTTTAAGTAGTGGTGACCTTGGAGAAGACCGTGAGAGAGGAATCAGTGTGGTTTCCTTGAGAGAGGGGTTAGACAGGATCCTACACAGGATGCATATGCTCTTCTGTAAACCTGATGTGAGGTGTAACAGCAACAGAGGGGACAGGAAAGGCGTAAGGAACTGGCATTACATGGAGTCCACCACCGCCCTCCTGGGGAGAACCACGCTGTGCTTCTACCCAGTTTGTTAATAAAGTCATAGTCTACTCTCATCACCTCTGTGGGACTTTTGGAGAAACAGTTTGTTCCCTGTTGACACCCCTGCGGCATAGGGGTAGGTGCCATCAGGAGATGTTTGAGCCCCAGAGAGGTTATGGTGTCCTCAGCCCAGAAGCTGGATCCAGACCATGACCACAGAACAGAGCCCACAGCCCACTCCTGGTCACGTTTGCGTTCAGATTGTGGCTGAATGTGGATTATCTCTGCTGAACACTCACTAGGAAGGTCAAAATATTCCCAGGGGACCTATAAGGAGTTGAAGGTTTTTATGAGTAATCAATGGCTTTGTAGAGGGATTGTTGTTGTTGTTTGTTTTTTAATTGGCAACTTAATTTCTTTTAAGGGTGAGTCAAGTTTAAACGCTAAATCCATTTTACTGGCTGATAGGGCACTGATGTCACTGGTATCTTGTAGTGGGAACTGGTAATGTCCACCCACCCAAAACACGCATGCTTTGTCCCCCAAGCTGTGAGATGCCAGTGCACCTCACACTGAGTCGTGGACCTTTTTCTTCCTTTTACTAAAAGCTTTTTCCTCTCCCTGCTACTTCCCTCCCTCCCTCCCTTGTTTTATCCTAGTTAAAGAGCTGCACAATATTGTTTATTCCTTTATGCTCCATTAATCTCTAGTGATCATCTTTCTCTCGAGTCATGCTTGAAACGGTAAGTATTTTCAGCAACATCTCTCTTGCTGTACAGCACAGGGAGCCTGGTCCCAGTGTAAATAACAACAGTGTTACCTTCTTCTAGGGTGTTTCTTCCCGATGGTCCTCGGTGACCACCTCACCCAGCACAGGAATGACTCTACCCCTGTGTGTGTACAACTTTAAAGCTTATTTCTGGCATAGACAGTGAGTGTGATGGACCTTGATAGAAAAAGGGCCGGTTTGCCCTTTTTCTGCAATGTTTGGCTGACTTGTTTGTCCCAGCTGAATGCATCCATTTTAAGGATAGCAGCCACGCTAGCAGTACGGTCACGAACAGGTTTTATTTCCTGCAAAGGTGGTTATTTAGTTGGCAGATACCAATTAATTGACCTGCATGAGAAATAGGGAAATAATCTATTTTGGAAGTCCTCAGGCTGTTTCACAGCTGTCAGTGGGAGATCTCCAACTTGTCCTTGTTGTTTTTTCAGTGAGGCAGATCAAGCTGGTGAAAGGTCTTCAGGCCCTCGAAGTCTCTGAGAAAGGGACCGTCACCTTCGAGGTGGAGGTGTCGCATGAGGACGTGGAAGGGACCTGGCAGAAGGATGGCGTTCGGCTGAAGCCTTCACCGAATATCAGTATTGGTGTCCTGGGGAAGAAACGTTCACTGACTCTTTCTTCAGTGACTCTTGAAGATGCAGGACTCATCTCCTTCAAAGCAGATGGCATTCATTCATCGGGGAGGCTCACTGTGACAGGTACACAGACCCAAAAGTCTCAGGTCCTGGTTGGTGTGGGACATGGTTGTCTTCTCCTGACCCAGAGAGTGAGCTTTTAAGAGAGCAACAAGCTTTCTTTATAACTGCAAGGGATGTTAGGCACTGGACCATCATCAATAACATATCCTTCTAATATCAACAGGATTATTGTCACATCATTGTCCACAGAACAACTTACCATAATGTGCTCAAGACAATAGGATTTTGTTGTCACAAGTTTTATTAAACATGGAAGCTAGGCTCTGCCTATTCATTATTCCTTGTACCAGATGGTCCTGGAGACCTAAATCCTCACGAACTGGACTTTCTCTTTGTTGCAGAATTGCCTGTGAGAATCAGCAAACCTTTGGCAGACGTCAATGTGACTCAGAAGGACAAGGTCACATTCGAGTGTGAGCTGTCCAGGCCCAACGTGGATGTTAAGTGGTTCAAGGTAGAACATTTGACGGATAGTGGTGTTTTAATTTCTGACTTCTCTGGAAGGGAAAGAAAGCCTTTAATTTCACTTCCAGGAAATGTGAGCCTTTGCTATACAGCTCTTAGTATTGCTCTCTTGTCCTTACGTTCTTTTACTTGCCCAGTTCGTCGCTCTCAGTGTTATTTATTTACTGGGTGCATTTATCAGTTAAACTTCTGAAACTTAACTTCCAAAAGTTAAACTTCTCTTGAGTTTATAGTGAACTCCTGTGCTGTCGTGGCACAGAATGTGAGCTCTGCTTTTGATAGCAGTGCAGGCTTGTGCTTTACTTCACGCCTAGCAGTTCTCACCCAGGATTTATTGGGAACTGCCAGCCTCATTGGGAACTGTGATTTAAGGTGAAGCCTCAATTCCCTTTCACCTGACAATCATTTTGGAGATCAGCTCAGGTATTTCGTAAACCTTCCTTGAGGCTCCGCTGATACTTCCCTTAAATGGGGATAACAGCATTTCTTCAAGGTAATGTCTGAAGGGGCTTATTGCCAACCCTGTACTGTGCCTTAAGCCTTCAAATAGGTGTCTTAGGTCAACCATGTTATGCATATTCTTCAGCCATTCCTACTTCTGGAAAACTGCACTGTGCTTAACTTTCAGCATATGTTCCAGTAAGCACAGCTCCATTAAGTCCTACAAGACAGGTGAATTAAGCAGAGATCTGAATGTTTGTTTTTCTTGGTGCAGATATAGAAGAGTTGATGGTGATCTGGTTTGGCTTTTTCCCTTTTAGGATGGGAAGGAGCTCCAGCAAAGTAAAAAAGTGGGGATTATTTCCCAGGGAAATAAGAGAAGCCTCATTATTCACAAGTGTGAATATGAAGACCAGGGAACCTATACGTGTGAAGCAGCTGAAGACAAGACATCAGCTACCCTAAAGGTTCATGGTATGTGTGCCTGAAGTAGGAAATTACATCTACTGCAGTATTTTTGACTACATAGCAAGAAATGCTTTGCGGATTTCGCAATTACTCATTTTGGATAACTTTCTCTTCCTTAGTGAGAAAGTGCTGGCAGAGCTGTCCCGTGCTTGCTCTATCCTTAGAGGAGTATTTTTGGAGGAGGTGCTAACTTAGTTTTCCATTTATCATAAGTGATTTCTGTTCTCTGGAATTTGAATGGTGTTTCTAAGTCGGCAAGTTAGCAAATACCGGACAGCCAGGCACAGAGCAGGGATTCAATGGCTGGTGTTGCACATGATTTGGTTTAGCTTCTGCCATTGTCACAGGGGGACTTTGGCCAAATAGGGACTGGACAAGCCCTGGGTATGATCTCAAGATGTGTCCTACCTTTTACGCTGTAAATGCTAAGGAAAGTGTCAGGATTTCTGACTGCATCTCTCCTTTATGCTCAAGACAGTTTTTCCCTCCGTGTGTTGCGCTGTGCAACTGGTCAAGTGGCAGATGTGTTTTGTCACCAGGCTCTGGAGCACCAGAGAGAAGCTAGTGCTGAAGGCCAGTTACTGAACGGACAGGTCTGCCGTGCCCTGGCAGATGTTATTTTCCAGAGGGACATCTGAAAAGACAGATCAGCTCACTCTTATTGCTTACTAGATGCTGTCCTCATGTGGCCACTCGGGTTCAGCAATATCTTCATGAACATTTGTGCTGTTCCATTGCTCTGTTGAACTCCCTCGTTTCTCCCTGACTTTGTGATTGGGATGGGTTGCTGTTTGAGTGCTGGCTGGTTTGCATCTGAGCTCTGCTGATCCAAGGTGTATCGAGGCCTTCCCTTTCAAAAAGAAAGGGCTGCAGTAGCACAGAAATATGGGTCAGCTCTGACATAAGTTAGTGCAAAACTGCAGAGTTAAAGAGGATTATACTGAGTTCAGGGGACTCTGAAACAAAGGTATCTCCTAGGTAAAACATGTGGCTGATACAGTCCAGACTACAAGCAGGGGAGTAAAAGGAGAGCATGCGGAGAAGCATGTGAATGAGACAGGTTTGTAGTGACACAAGAGGTTGTAGGCTTGTGTTTTCCTTGGCAGATTTTCTTTTATTAATGTGTTTAGCTTCTTTTAAAACCTGTATGAAGTTCCGGCATCCATAATATCCTCTTGCAGTGAGCTCCACTGTAGCTGGTGATTCTATCTGTAGGTTCAAGCATAAAATATATTTACTGTGTTGAAGAGCAAAACCACCCAGGAAGGGAGGCTGGTCTAGAATAAAACGCAATCCCATTTTTTCCATGCAAGTGTGCAGAAGGTAAACACACCGCACTCAGTTATGGAGAAATCCCAGATAAATATTTGTCTCTATGATTTCACAGCCCGAGATATCAAGATTGTTAAACCGCTGGAAGATGTGGAAGTGAATGAATATGAGAGCGCATCTTTCGTCTGTGAGATTTCACATGATGAGGTCCAAACCCAATGGTACAAAAATGACAACAAGCTGAAGGCTGCCGACAATATTAGAATGCGTCAAGATGGTAGGATGAAAAAGGGGGGTCTCGTTCTTGAATGGGGGTGGGTTGGGGTAGGTGCTGGTATGGGAGACTAGGCAGAAGGGTCTGACCTTCAAAATCACGTTAAGAAGGTTTAGCAGAGAGTTCCCCTTTTGTTTTGGGGTTGCAGCTGGGCTGGGACAGTGACATGGTGGGGTCTTTTAGTAAGGCAAATTTGGTGTCATCCCACCATCCCATGCTGCCAGCAGTGGGTAGGAATTTGTATCATCTGACTGCGGGTGGGATCCTTCTGTTTCAAGTACTTTCCAGATGGTGGGGACCACATTCAATCAGTCCTTGGAGGAGCTGAAGTTAGGTTATCCTTCGATACAGGGGCACAGAGGCAGGGGAACGGTGGCCCTTGCTGCCATGAGAGCAGCTGGTGGTGCACCAAAACCAGATGAGCGATGCTCAACCTGGCAGCGTGCCTTGGAGAGCGAAGCCGTTTGCTCAGGGGAAGCTATGTCTGCTTGTGTGTCTGTTCTCAGGAAAAACCTATTCGCTGACTTACACGCGCGTCCAAGTTGAAGATGCAGCAGAGATCAAATTTGTAGCGGAAAAGGCAGAATCTCGTGCTCAGCTTACTGTAAAAGGTAATTACACTTTTCATGCCAATACTGCTTAAGCTCTCTCATGTTACATTACAAACCAACTAACTTCCCTCACTTTTAATGTGAAGAATGTTAAACAACACCTAAAGCTTTCAGGGAAAGAAAAACTCCTGCCTACCTTACTGCATCAGCCTGGGAATTTACTTTTGCTAAATAACAGTTTATTTTCTCAGGAGGCTGGTCTTTTAAGACATTAAAAGTCATGTTTGAACTTTGAGGGACAAAGACCTGCATTTTCTCTTACTGGTGTATGTTTAAAAAGAATACAGCGTTTTTCTGTGTTTAACTTAAACACTGTGGTAGGAAGAAGGAAGACATTGGAATTAACACACTGATGGGGAGCTCAGGAAATCTGAGATCAGCCCCTGCCTTTGCCATAGCTTGCTGTGTAGTGTTGAGTAAATCACCTATTATCTCTGCAGTTCAGCCATCCAAGTGGTAAAATAGGGATAAAAAGTTTTCCTTTCATTAGCTCTTCACTTGCCGTGTGCTAGTTGAGTGCTTGGCATAGCGGGGATTCCTGTCATCTTCCAAATAACTGAACATAAAAAATATCGCTAATGAGTTTTTAATTGGCACTTTTCATGGAAACTGTACTGATTATTCCATCTTTTTTTACTCCTTTTAGAGCTGCCTGTAAAAATTGTGAAGCCTTTGCGAGATAAGATTGCCCTTGAAAAACATCGGGGATTCCTGGAGTGCCAGGTGTCTCGTGCCAATGCCAAAGTTAAATGGTATAAAAAGGACATTGAAATTCACCCTAGTGACAAATACGAAATTGTGAGCGATGGTGTCTATCGGAAACTCGTCATCAACGATGCAGATTATGAAGATGAGGACACGTACACTTGTGATGCCTTTGATGACAAAAGCAGCGCTAATTTCTTTGTTGAAGGTAGTAAACTATTTTTGCCCCTCTAGGATGCATTGGAAGGAGGACTGGCTGATTCAAAAAGCCCTGGTCATTCGCTTTGAAAACAAAATACCACTTAAAAAGTATTTTAATTCATTGTTGATTTATTCTGAAGTCCATTGATATTGAATCTTTTTAGGATTATAAGGGCAGGAACATCCTGTAAAATGAAGATATGGTATATTCTTCTAAGGAACATGATGAAATTCCTGTTCCAGAGAAGTTTATCAGATATGCTGGAGAAAGTTGTTGGTTTGTTGTTGTTTTTTTTTTTTGTTCAGAGAAATGTTGCTGTAGCTAACCGAAGTCTTCTCTGTTATCAACATCTGCATTTCAGTGAACTTTCTTTTCCATTTTATAGTGCCAAGTGTTTGATATCAGGATGGGAAGGTGGCTTTAGAAATAGGACTGGGAATCAGGAGATCTGGATTCTCTTGAGGCTGTGTCACAGTCTCACTGTCTGACCTGTGACCAGCAATATATGTTTATTTTTATAGAAAAAAAAGGATGGTTTAAGGCCTTTTGAGCCAATAAGTGCAGTATTCAAATGCAGAAAAGATGGCATGAGTGTCCAGGATGCTAATGAAAGAGTTCTTTCGTGACTCCTAAATCCCTGCTTTCTCATTCCATCCTTCATCCAGAGCAATCCATTAATATTGTAAAGGAGTTGTGTGATGAGGATGTGACTGAGCCTGAAGAAGCCAAGTTTGAATGCGAGATATCCATTCCATCCGTGAAACCCCCCAAATGGTCTCTACGCGGAGAAGTCTTACAGGCTGGCAGAAACATTATCATGCAGCAAGAAGACACCATCCATCGGCTGACGATACTGAAAACCAGTGCTGATATGACAGGCACCATTCAGTTCTCCATTGGCAAATCAAAATCCACAGCAAACCTGCTTGTCAGAGGTAATGTGATTATGTCCTGGCTTGAATTAGATCACGAGAGATTCTTCCTCTCACAGTCCCTGGAAAGTAATTTTTCGTACATACAGTCTAACGTGCAGGCTCCACTGGCTGGGGTCTTCAAAACGTATGGAAGATCTGCTTAGTTCCCAGTTACAAGTTGTTGGGTGCAATTTTGGGCACATGAAATGAGACAGCAATGTCTTAGGAAGGGATCTGGTTAAATGAGTTTGGTGTGCCTGGTATTCAAACCTGATATTCAAATCTATTGCGCTAAGACTGGCTTTTGTTTTGGTTTTTTTTTTTTTTTTTTCTTCTTGACTTTACCACAGAGGACAAAACAGATTAAATTTGCCAGGAGAGTTTTTGTCTCATTTCTGAACTAGACAAGTTTGACAGCTCATTTACTTAATCCACTTTGTCATTGACTTGATCTGGGACAAAGCTTCAAGGCTTTTTATCTTCCGCTGTCACCACTGTAAATATCTCCAATCATATCCTGATGTCCTTGTTTTGTCTTTAATTTGCTCTTGCTTGAATAAAAACCTCAATTAGAGAGCAATTCAGTAAACACTGAACCAGAACTGGATCACGCATTTGGTAGTTAATATACAGTATTATCTTATAGAAACCAGCATTCCCTATAGATCATCATGCCATTTTAGCCTCAAAGCACATCAACCCTGTAACAGAAACTTGTAGCAGTTGACAGAACAGCTGTGAACGACATACATGAAATTAAAATATAGATTAGAAACTTTCCTCTTCTGCAGATTGATCCTTTCATCTTTCCCAACCCTGCTTTGCAGATTACCACGTACAGATCACCAGGAAGATGGAGGACAAGACAGCTCTGGAGCGCCATTCGGTCATCCTGTCCTGCGACTTCAGGCCTTCTCCAAAGGTTGTGAAGTGGTTCAAGGGTCACACACCCATCGAGCCCTCCGAGAAGTACAAAATCAAGCAGGAGCAGCATTCGGCAGAGCTCAAGATTTTGAAGGTGAAACCCGAAGATGCTGGCGTGTACAAGTGCAGGGCTGGAAACGCCGAGACCGAAGCCACGCTGACCGTTGAAGGTACGAGTGGTTTGCAGCAGGGAGGCTTGCATATAAGGAAGAAATTTTTTACGATGAGGGTGGTGAAACAGTGGCATAGGTTGCCCAGAGAGGTGGTAGATGCCCCATCCCTGGGAACATTCAAGGTCAGGTTGGACGGGGCCCTGAGCAACCTGATCTAGTTGAAGATGTCCCTGCCTATGGCAGGGGCGTTGGACTAGATGACCTTTAAAGGGCCCTTCCAACCCAAACCATTCTGTGTTTCTATGATATCTTTATGGTTCAGTATTTCACTCTGGACTTCTCTTCTTGAGTAGAGGTAGATTCCCACAGTTCTTTCCTGCTAATTTTATGTAAATGCAATATCTTAAGTGAACTAACTTAAGTGTATTATGCACTGTGCTGATATTCCATGATACTGAAATCCAGCACTTACCATGAAGCAGTTAATGCATGTGGAAGGGCACCATCTGGGTAAGGCAGAAATTCATGCATCTTTCTCAAGGCACATTATTTTCCATTTCATCTGAGGAACTACAACTCTTTGGTGGTACTTGCTGAAAATGTCCTTTATGTTAAACTGCTACAGGCCTCTGAATCTGGTGACCTTGGTTGTGGTTTTCATTTCCTGACCACTGTGTCAGCTTTTATATCTGCTATACGTTTGTTATTCATAATGATGTTCTACCTCATCCTGGTATGACACTGGTTTTAGCCAGTTCTTCACCTCTGGTGAAGCTGTAAGAAAAGGTGATCGCTGTGTCACTTTCAGCAAGACTTGGAGGTGAGCCACAGAATCATTTCCAGAAGTCTAGGAAGCAGCTTTTGGTAACAGTTTGGCCTTGAAGAGGTTCATCCAAATGACAAAATTATTTAATAGTCCCAAAACCCTCTTCTGAGTTAGCTAGTCCTTGAGAAACAGCATTTCATGGGTGGAGAAGCTGCAAAGAGAAACCCCTGGCCAAGGACTGGGAAAGAAAATTAAATTCCTGTTGCTCCCTAAACCTGAGCAAGTTGCTTAATCTCTTCATACTTGTTTGTGACCAAACCCGTTGTCTTCATCTCAACCTCTGTGCTTCCCTGGCAGTGAGTCAGGGATAATTTAATTACAATGTGTTTGTGTTTGTGCATGTGCAGTGATGAGCACACAGGGACTGGAGCTCTGTAGGGTATTTAGGCATCACCATAATGTCACTACCATTTTAGAAAGACTTACTTATTTTTAAATTAAAAAGAAAAAAAAGCAGAACAGTTTTATGTGTTAAAAGAGAATTGAGAGCTTTGGACAATACAGTCTTTTTAACGGATGGGTTTTTGTTGGACCAAATGCAGAACTAAGTAAACAAAATGTAATGACCCATGGTGTACAGGAGACCAGACTAAATCACCTCATAAACTCTAAACACTATGAAATCTATTTGTGGTAACAGTACTGATTTATGGTGACAGTGGTGATGGTGCACCTTGGTTTCCTACAGCCCGTGATGTAGAAGTACTCAAACACCTGCAGGACGTGGAAATTGAAGAAGAGAGTTCTGCTGTCTTCTCCTGCGAGCTGTCCCACGACGACGAGGATGTGGAATGGTTCCTCAACGGCACCCTCCTTTACACCAACAATTTCAATGACATCAGGAACGTTGGCAATTGCTACATGCTGACGATGAAGCAGGTTAAGCCTGAGGATGCTGGCACAGTGACAATGAAGTCAGACAAGGTGTCAGAGACCGTGCGTCTGAAGGTGATAGGTGGGTTGTGATCACACTCCTCCTGAATGTAAATAAGAGATGCAAAAGAGCTCTTATTTACCGTACCCATGCAGCAATCCTGCTCGTAAGCTTCACCTCTCTGGGACCAAGTAAATAGGCATGCAGGGGTTTTCTTCCAGTGTAAGTCTCTACTGAGATGATGATTTTTCTAAGGAAGATTGTTTTAATGTCCTGCTAAAACTTTCTATAGCTCTTTATCATGCTTTTATTATCCTTATCAGGATAGTCTCAAGAGCAATTTCCTTCACTTGTAGGTCTCTTCAGTAGTATACAAACCGTTGTGTCTAAAGATTTTTGTCTGCAAGGAGGTGAGCTTCACTGTACTTCCAATGGTAGGGCACACCTTTAGTACATCAGTTCTGGAGTTGGACTGAATCAGCAAAAAGAAGGCAGTTTGCTGCTGTCCTTCATATGTCTTAGACGTGTGACCAAACTTTGAGTTGTGGTGTTTTAACATGTTCTTGTGCATCAGCTAAGCCACAGTAAGTTGTGTGAATTATTTCAGGTACGTTAGAAACATGAGGTAAAGCTCTCACCAAAATTTCAAAATCACATTTTCTTTAGCAACACACCCGTACGTGCATGCTCAGGTAATTCATAGTGATTTGTTATCCTAAATTAACTCCTTCTTGTATCTGGAAACATGAGTGGGAAATGTTTTGAGCCATTGTCTGAAAATCAGTGTCTGACATTCTCCACACCGTCTTAGAGAATAATCTCTCCGATTTCCTTTGCATTTTGCCTCCTGATCATGACTAATTTGTTCTTCCCAGAGTATCTGAATAATTTAGCTCTTTCACTCTATCCACTCAGAGAATCTGAAGGATTTCCTCTTCCTTCTTTCTTTTATATCTGGTCAAAAATTTCCCCTTACAAATATCCTCTGTGTCAAATGTATTTTAAATTAGATAAAGGGAATTGACAAAACAAAAAAGCAAGAGCAAAAATGTTCAGGAGAGTGAGGAGAATGTGCAGCATATCCTTTTATTGCTGCTCCTACTGCATGAATCCTGCTTCGTGAAGAGGCAGTGCCAGCTCTCTGGCTTTAGAAGACCTACATCCCAATTACTTCTCTTCACACATTTTTCTTAGAATCATAGAATCATTAAG